CCTGGTTCATTGAGTCGACAACCAACGCAACACATGCAACAGAAATGACTCAATGCAAATACCAGAGATATGGATGATATTATTACCACCAGTGAAATCAGAAACTTCATGCATTTATTCCCCTTGATGAATTTGAATAAAGCAAGAACAACAGTGGTTTGTGCAGAATAGTATGGTACCATCATTTATTTCGTTGGCCTCTCATCAGCTGCTTACAGCCTAAATAAATTATGAGGTCTGCGTACAGAAAAGTTTTAACATACTTGCAAATTTTACATGTTGCCAGTTGACAATAAGTTCCACAATAAGTGAACAGTGCTCAGAAAATTGCGCTTATATAGATTTTACACAGGCACTTCCAGTTTAAACAAAATAAATGTAAGAGTTTGTTCCCTTGAGACGTAGGAACAAACTCTTATAGTAGCGCTATCTCTAGACATCTTCTCGACACAGGTCATGAGGTAGAAATCGAGAAATCCTCTAAAATTATCAATAGACAAAGGAGCTCCATTCTCCTCGAGTTTGCCGAAGCAATTTCTATCAAACGCTTGAAACCAGATTTATGTGTTCAGAAAGAAGCAGTTATTAATCCTTCCTTGCTCTGGTAACTGAATGTCTTTATTCTCTCATCTGATCACGAATTCATTGTCTTTAACCTCACCCGCTTATATAATCTGTAATTTTGCTTCTCTCTTGTTTCTATGATTTGAGTTGAACTCAGTACATTATTACCTGATTTATTAGTCACTCTGTATCTAACGCATATTTCGTCTTTATTACGTAACTCCTTTACCATTGTATGCATACATTTATTTTATTTAAACTTAAACTGCCTGTGTAAAAACTATATAAGCGCAATTTTCTGAGCACTGTTCACTTATTGTGGAACTTTTTGTCAACAGTGTAAAATTTGCAACATGTAAAATTCGCAAATACGTTAAAACTTTTCTGTACGCAGACCTCATAATTTATTTAGGCTGTAAGCAGCTGATGAGAAGCCAACGAAATAAATGATGGTACCACACTATTCTGCACAAACCACTGTTGTTCTTGCTTTATTCAAAGTCAAATCAGAGGAAGATAATAAATATTCTTAAAATTATATTTCAATTCACGTACATCATAACATTCCAACAAGTCACTTATTTTGACTACAAAAAGATTTTACTTCGCATCTGATTGTATTTGATTGATAACCCTAATATTATTATTTCCAAATGTACTTTATCTTAAATTGATTTTTATTCAAATGTCTAATCATCAGTTTTTACTCATGTATATAAATGAAGCAAGAAAGTTATGTGAGTGACTTGATATGATTATGAGCAGTAATAATTTGTGCTCGAGACGTGGCCATCAGTTAATGTTACAGTATAACACTGTGTGACATAAAGGTGTGGCTTGAATACATGAATCTCCGAGACCAGAGCTGTCATCAGTAGTTCAGAACGAAGAAAACACCGGAAGTTAGCATAAATTCGGTGAATCATCAAATCATTATCAGGATTATTAGAATGACAGGAATTGATCAAATCAAGTGTTCTAGAATAGTGTGCTCCTTTTCCCTTGTAAAACCATGCTGAAATGTGTCCTCCTATCCGTATAGAAAGTATTCTCTGGCTACGGCCAATACACCCTGCCACATAAGAGAAGGTGAACTGATAGATGCATATGCAGAGAGTCAAACGAAGGAGCTTAACTTTTACATGTTCACCTGAAGTTATGTCCTCGTTGCCTCTGAGCTGCCAACTTGTTAATTTTCGCCTTTAGATCTTCTAGTTGGTGCGAAATTGCACCTTTTAGGTTCCATCTGCCGTATTCTCTTTTTATAGTTTCCTATGGTCTGTTGCATGAACCTGTCCACCATAATCAACATATTATCGTTGATAGATAACTAAGATTGCCACGTACGTCATATGGGAAGTTGATGGACATATGGCAGTTTAATTTTGACTAAGAAAACATATTACTTGCAAGTGTTTCAGTAGCCTGAACATTTTCACTAAAATATCATTTAATGAACTAAAGAAAAGATTTGAGATCAAACAGAAAAACGATGCTATTTAACGGACTAAATGAAGCACGGAGACCGATCGTGCAGCTAAACTGACGATTACCACGAGTGTAAGTCAAGATAGGCATTGATGAAATCTCAAAATACACGGCTGAAACTTTACTTTTCTTATATATGTCCAAACCAAGTTCACTTCTAACAGTTTGAAAATTTTTGGGCATTGGGTATATGATATTCATTATAATAAAGGTTTTTGTATTTCCCAATGAATGAAAAACAAAAAGATATTACTTTTCTTAAATCCCTGTGAGCACTAAATTTTCTCACTTAGAGAGATGATGCCTAATAATCTTGTTGATTCGACAGCAACTCGTCGATTAACAACCAGAATACTAAGTTGAAGTCAACTGCTGGATGGTGACTAGTGCTGGAATCAAGGATGTGCACTTCATCCTATTTAGGACCCGTCATCTGGATCTACCTGCATTCACCAGTGAGTGATTGTGTCCCCATTGAGGCTTGAAGCCAGCCCCCATAGTCTCAAACTCCACAGCGTTATTTAGCAGACCACTTGGGCCACGACAGCCACCTCTTGTGTAATGGGTCTTATAATTAATTAATTCAATTTTCGATTTTCCCGTCGATTAATTGGACCAGTCGGCTACTTGTGGAGATGCTTCGACGATGTCTGGTCATGTGACTGGGGAATAGTGACTAGCAGTGGAATCCGAAGAACTTCGGTCCAATCAGTTGATGGGACAAACTAAATTGAAGTAAACAGAACACTGAGTCTCTGAAAATATTAAATCAAGTAATCACCCTTGTTGATTTCACAGAAAAAGACTCTATTTAGAACCAAAGAGTTGGTCTTGAATACTCAACAAACACAGTCTTATCTGAAATCTATCTATACAACTAATGCTTGTGTACAGTAAACCAGGCCGTTTGATGTTCATCTCTCAGGCAGATGATTTCGCCTAGTGTTTAAGAGATAGGTGAATCATATGTGAAAAACAGTTATAAGAAGCCTTCGATTCTCATGATAGTTGTAAGATCTACAACAACAATATAGGAATTAAATCAGAAATCAAGTATCTTGGACTTATTCTCTCTTCTGATCTCTCCTGGTCTTCCCATGTCTTAGCAATCTCCAGTAAAATATTCCGCCTGACATTTTACATTAAGAAGTTAAGGCACTCAGGCATAACTCAACCCCTCCTCTTACACTTCATAAACTCTTGCATCCCACCTATTCTTCTTTATTGTTCACCCTTATTCTTTCCTGGTTTGCTTATTAAGGACTTTGTCACAATTCGTAGAATGCTGAAGACTGTCAGTAGGATGAATGGTGTCCCAGTGGACCACATAGTTAACGTCGTTGTCGATAGGCCCTTGTCTTCGTGCAATAAATTTGCTAAAGGGATTTTGTCTGACTTGGAGCATCCACTTCACCCTCAGCTTTCGCCTTGCATCTCCTCAGGTAGAACAAGAAGTAACCTCAGAAAACTGTATGCTCGCACGTCTAAGTATAAAAATTCTATGATACCATACTTGGCACGTATTTTATGTGATGAAAATAGCGTCAGGCAACAATTGACTAACCTTTTTTCCTCTAGTAAATAAACAATCTCCTCCATCCATCTTTATATACCTTCAAGTTTTACCTTTATTATTTCTATTATATTTATGGTCCTGTTGCTTCTTTGTTTTACTTTCATAATTGCAAACACCAACTTATCTCTATGATTGCTGTAATCTTTGCTTTTCCCCTCACCATATCATGTAAAGAGAACATTATATTCAATATTTTCAAAAACATGCTGGATTTCTATACCATATCGAAAATACTGTGTGAAACAAGCCCACGGCAATTCTCACTTGTATTATTATTATTATCACCTTAGCTGTTATCATTATTATTATTTCCAATTTATATGCTGCATGTTTTTGACATTACCCCTATTGTAAATGTAGACAATTTTCTGAAACAGAACACTAGATGAACACATACAAGGAACTTTCTAGGTGGTGGACAGACATAAAGCACTTCATAACCACGTTGAATTGCACAAGATCAAACCATTCAAAGAGGGAGACCTAGATCACGTATGCAAAAGGAGACTGGCACTAACTTGCTACTATCTATTTTGATAAGCATTGACTCTTTCACCTTAACTCAATGAAATTCCATTTCTCTTTTATGACGTAACTTGAGAGGCCAAGAAGTGCAAACTCACCGATAACTATGAACGCATACTATTCAGTGGATAACAATATCAACCATTATTTATTATGGAGTCACTATGAATACTGTTCATTTGGTAGCTCGTTAAGGTTAGTACTCAGGTGGGAATTAGAGTTAAGTTTGGGATCAGGATTAGGGTGAAAGTATTTTAATTTTATTACCTGCATCTTTTCTAGTGAATAGCTGTCGGCTCTCTTACCGGAACCCATACTGATTCAATCGAAGGGCTTTTTTGCAAAGACTGGAAAACAGGTTAGGACGAATAAATGAGTCATAAAAAGAACTCGTCTTCAGTCACATCGATGAATGCAACATGTAATACAACAGAAACTGGTCTTACCAAAAAAACTGATATTCCTCACTATAATTGGGGGATGTTTTTGAGTCACATCGCATGTAGAGCTGGGAAAAAAATCCCTCTCCAACGAAACACTAACCAATGCAATGATTAGAACTTTTTTTATTCCTTCACGTTCCCAGTGGAACACAGGGCACCTTCAGGCTACAGGCTGGAAGTTCCTGTAGCGGTGGTGGTTATTTTCACAGGATGGGGTTTCTAGCCTCATGCCCAACCTCTCCTATTTACTAGCTTTTTATTTCAGGCCTAGCGAGGTAAAGGAGCGCGTCGACCGGGTTTTGAACCCCGGACCATGTGCATGGTCAGTGATCCTCCTAACCGCTATGCCACCAACGCACAGAATGTAGGAAAGCCATAAACAAAAAGTCAAAATAGAAAGCACTTGTGAATTTATTATTCTGTACAAGATTTTTAAGAAGGTTTCTTCAATCTTTTTACTATTCATCACCACCCTTAGAAAAACGACTTCCTCCTTTCCTACCAGATTTACGCGCAAAATATTCTTTCCGACGTTTACGTTCATTGACTGCCTTAACAGCATTCACTTTAGCCAGCTGTTTTTTATGCTTTGTCACACGATTGACCATTTTCTCTTTTTGACGGTGTAGAAAATCGGTGTGCAGTTGACGAAGACGTGCAATCACCTCTTGTCTTGATTCACCAGATTCCATTTCATCCATTGTCTTCACTGGTGGTGGTAATTCAGCATTCAGTGCAGCTTTTACAGGATCACCGCCAAGCATTGCCAATGCTTCTTTACGAGATGGTTTTGGTTTATGCGCAAATGGAAGTGCAGCGACTAGTTTAGTTGGTACACGTAAAGGTGCAGGCACATAGATTGGACGATTAATTGGCTACAGAGAATAAAAAACAAAACACAAAGTTGATGGTCAAAAAGGTGTAAAGAGACAATGATTTTTATGTCACTTGTTAAACTTTAAATCATCAACAGCATATTTATTATTTTATTATGATTACAGATTGATGCCACACCGTATTTCCATTACAAGTATGGAATTTCCAACATGGATATCGGTAGCCCAAATTTAGCAGGCCGACCATAGATATCGGGTGTGCGTCGGCAGGGAATCGAACCTCGGACCATGTGCATGGTCTGCGAGAGTCCTAACCACTGTGCCACCGACGCACATTAATTTGTGTTGTTATTTTTCCTAATTTTTCTGATATTCAGTGTGGTGATGAGCTGGCATTGGTTGGCAAACCATTGGAAAACTTGGAGTACTGGATACCTATTTCATCCTAGTTTGGGACTCTTCAGCAGTACGCGCCCATCGGGGTTCGAAACCAGGACTTTCTGGTTACAAGGCGAGCTCGTAGGCCATTGGTACCTATATTTCAACATCGATGAGATGCTCACTGGCGACTAGTCCTATTCAGGTAGGTAGTTACCTGGGTTCCAGTGGGAAGTCGTGACCAGATGGGTGCAGCAGGTCGGGTGTGAGGATAAATAGTCGCCAAAGACGTTGGCTAGCAGTCGCACTATGTCGTGAATTGGCAGAAGTTAGAATTCGTGCACTGGCTGGCCTCCGGATTGGGTCCCAGTGGCTTAATGGTCTATGAGCTTGCTCGCCTTGTAACCAGAAAGTCCTGGGTTCGAACCTCTGTGATGGGTGGGTGCTGCTGAGGAGTCCAAGACCAGCCTGATGAAACAGCTGCCTCTTGGTTCTCTCAGGTTTTCCAATGGTTCTCTAATCAATGTCAGCTCATGATAAAATCCTGTAACCAATCAATCAAATCCCTAAAAACCAATACTTGAATAACGACACACAATAATTTGCAAAGATGTCATACTATTTAGCTTACTCATGTAGTAATGCATATATATGATCAATACATTTCAGTCAATAGACACAAGACTAGGCAGTTAGCTAGTTAGGTTACTGTGACATATGCTACTTAGTAGGTAATAACTTTCAAGCACTGTATTGTGCAGTGTCTTCCACAGAAATTCTACATAGGTAAACAAAGAATGAAGTTTCAAACAAGAAAAGCGGGGAAAAAACAAATTTCTACACTACGCTGACAAAAAGTAGAGTCTTCCAAACACCTTGAGCAGAAATCTTTGAATATTTGACATGCAATTCCTCTGCTCCTCTCAAATGCAAGATGATGCTACAGGACTGGACTAAATGGAATCACTCCCAGGTTAAAAATAGGCAGCACTGAAGTGGTAGAGTGGGTTCACCAGCACTTCGCTTATTTGGGAATTCGCATCAGCCAGTGCCAACCAGTTGATCGTTGAAGAAATCTCAGCACGGATACAGAAGGCTCGTTTCGTATATACCAGTTTACGCCATCTATGGCGTAGATGTGATATCCGGCTATCGACCAAAGGACATGCGTACAGCTCAGCAGTCCATTGCGTCCTCCTTTATGGCTATGAAACCTGGCCATTGAGAGTGGAAGCCATAAAAAGCCTAGCTAGCCGTCTTTGATCATAGGTGCCTGCGTTATATCTCCCATGTGAGGTGGTATAATAAGGTGACTAATATTGAGGTTAGGCTTCGGTCGAGTGCTAGGTAAAGAGAAGAAATCAATCGACGAGGCTGTGAAGTTACATCGACTGAGATAGTTAGAACATGTGTTACGCATGCCTAGCCATCACCTTCCTCGATAATGGGCAATGTTAACTGAAATAGGGTTAGGCTGGAAAATAGTCAGTGGTGGTCAAACCAAAACATGACTGAATCAGTCAATGAAATCCACAATAGTTAGTTTAAGTCACGCAGGAAGATGTAAACTTCCTGGTTGAGGTCGTCGGGACGGTAAACATCAAAATTGTTGTTAGTGGCGTAGATGGATCATCCACCCCTAGTGACTTATGATAGGCAATAAAACTATAGTTCTACGATTTTACTATTCTTTTTGCCTGATATCTGTTTACTGTCTCTGTTGTGCCTTTCTTTTTACTTTCTTCTTCTCTGGCTTTGTGTGCTGAGTGAAGTGTGGCGATTCGAACTGCTGCACATCGGTGCAAAGTTCTATGTTGAAACCAGTCACTCAGTTAATGTAGGAGAAAATGGAGATGGATAGGGCATATGTTGGGGAGGCCATCAAAGGATATCGCGCGGAATACAGGCCATCACTCGAGTAGAGTGCCAATGGGAAGCGACGGCATTGGGTCGTCGGTGAAAGCGAGGATGACATGGAAGAGATCATATGAGTTGGAGGAGGAGATGAGAGATTATAGGTAATCGTCAACCCAGCTGAAGAGGATGGCAGAAAACAGAAGAAAGTGGAGATGTGCTGGTGAAGCCAAATGTTCCACTAGGAACTCAAGGGAATAACATTTTTTCTGTGATTACGTAATCCACTATGCCGTTATATTCTTTCTAGTTAAACTTTGTTTCTACCTAAAACGTCTGTTGAACTCTGTCCTTTTGTTTCCAGGCATAGTCCTCTAATTTTCCTATAAATAATCAATCCTTTCCACTCTTAATTATTTAACAACTTATAAGATTCCTGACTGATGTTACCGCCAGTTCCTACAAGTTACTCTTTGTCATCGTGCAAAAAGTATGTTCAAATGTTTCATGTAATTTATATTTCAGTTTTATTGTTCAGGTGGTAGCCCGTTAAGAATAATCTTTCAGATAAGTTATATCAGGAATACATCGCTGAAACCCTTGGTCCCATGCGAATGGAACGGCCTTCCGATGTTTAAATCACCTCGATCTGGCTGACTGGCTAGCAAGCACTACCCCAGTTGGTGTAAGTAGTAGTAAACTACTTATCCCATTTAATCAGTAGTATATAGTTTTACGCGAAAAAAGGGGGAAATTCAGAATTAATATACAGAAATCATGAAACGAAGACACAGTAACAGAGGATAAGAAGCAGATGCTGAGGAAAACGAATACTTTACCATTACCATGCGTAATTTAACCAAAATAAACAACAACTCTATATACCAGAAACCTCTGTGATCTTAGCTACATACCCCACCCACCAAGCAACGACTTAATTATTATAGCTCAACCTTTCAAAGTGGAAATAAATGAAATGCAATAACCCCCTTATGCACATATTCCACTTACCTTATACTGAGAATCTGGTTTACTCTCTGTTTTAATGCCAGCTTCCCATTTCAGTTCACCTAGTGTACGAAGTAGTCGCCAGCCGCCGCCGCCGCTACCTGAATGCTGCGTAGACTTTTCACCAGCAATAGGGACTAATCGATTCAGTACAGGATTATAATATCTAGGCAATTCAACAGCGAAGAAAGTTCGTAAGAAAACGATATCAGCTTTTCTAATTTGTGCTTCAAATGTTGCTCGAAAATCACCAGGTTTCGATGTTGACGGATTAGTCAATGCAGCTTTGATTAAACCTGTTAAAATAGAGTAAAAAAATAAAATAATAGATGACATTGTAGCCAGATAGATTTATAAATTACACTGGATACGAACGATAGAATACTGTGAATTCAAATTGGTACATCGCCCAGATGGTGCCAAGCCTGCTTCCCAACAAAAAGAGTTCAGCCAGGTGGCTCATTACCATAAGTTGACGTCAAACTCTCTCGTCTTGAACAACCACATGTTCTCAAACGTGCCACAGCTTCCTACGCTCTGATAGCGGTGAGAGGTCACAAGTGCTCCGGACCTTCCTGTAAACAACCCACCACTCCCTCGACTCAGGTGAGGTCCTAGGTTGACCCCAAGGAATACTTTTTTTCTAGAAAGGGAGGTGATATGTAGACAGATAAACAATGGATTATCCTTCTGTTTGGAATCAACATAGAACTTGGCACCCAAGTGCAGCAGTCCCAGTTGCCACGTTCCAAATAGAACACAAAGGTAGACAAGAAAATGACTGAAGAGAATCAATAGAGTTTTGACAAGTATAAGAGTGAAACAGAATGAGTAATTGTAGAAAGGAATATAAAAGATTACAGAGACTGAATACATCTGCGTAAGCCATTGACAACGATTTTGAGCCATGTCACCTATTGTTTGTCTCCAGCCATTGATTCTTAGAGTCCCGAGGACCCCAACCCGGAAGTCTGCATCTCCCTACCTGACTCAGTTTAACTGTCAGGGATTTCATGGATTGATGAGGCCATGTTTTTGTTTGGCCACCACTTACTCTTTTCCAACCTGCACCTGTATCAGCTAGTAATGCCCGTCCGTCGGGGGAGGCGATGGTTAGGCATGCGCAGCACGTGACCTAGCCATCTCAATCTATGTAACTTCATAGCCTCTTCGATTGACTTTCCCTCTTTGCCCAACACTCTACGCCTAATGTCAACATTACTTACCTTATTATACCACCTAACGTGAGAAAGAGATCGTCGACATCTATGATCAGAAACAGTCAACCTTTTCATGTCTTCCACTCGTACCGGCAAGGATTATCCTTCATTGGTGATATGGTGATTAAGACCACTCTGGAAACAAACTAATCAGGATTGGCCTACGTAAAATAACGTCCATTATTTTATCAATCATGATTATAGACCAAGTGATAAATCCATGGTGATTTTTTGAATCATACACGATTATTGTGTAGAATATACTGTGGCTGTTACTGAAATATACTTTTCGGCTCACGTCGTTGTGGGTTCTCATTTAAGTAGAGAGGGTCGGGGAACACAGGTAGCTGTCCTACAGTGTTGTTCGAATAGTCAAGTGGTGTTCGTGACCAGTTCTAATTTCAATAGCATTGTAATTGTGACATATAAAAGTAGTTACATCAAAGCAAGATGGCAGGTTGGATATGCATTAATCACTTGGGTATATAATGCAGTCTCACATACTTGCCAGTTGAATGGCTTTATTTATTAACTCACCTAAAACCAGGATTACTCCTTCCATGGCTGCTGAACTAAAGAGATATCAGTAAGAAGGAAGTTGTATTCTACTCACGTCTAACTTTTGCCAACTGTTACAAACATGTACAAGGAAACAGGACACTATTTGGTGTTATTAGATGCCTTAATCTAGATTATTATTCCCTTGGGTTCCGAGCGGCACATGTATATATATATTTTGTCCTATTCCCTGCAGTCCTCTTCAACTGGTCCCGGGGTTGTTCACAGTTTCTCATTTCCTTCTCGCACAATCTCCTCAATGTCACCCTCGGATCCACACACCCAAAGTGTCTTTTCCGATTCGGCTTCCACTGGAGAGCCACTGACCTGTCACGCAATGCAACTTGATGGTCTCCTCAGCTTGTGTCCAATCCATCTCCATTTTTTTCAGAATATTTGTTGAGTAATCGGTTCTTGGTTGAATCGCGGCCCACCAGAGTTTCATGTTGATAAATTGTTTCTGCTTACCCTCAAAGATTCATTTAACAGGTACGGAAGATCTGAAGTCTTAAATGTGGAACAGATCACAGTGGAGAAAAAGCCTATCTACATTCAACTAGATTATAAATGTCCAAATCAAGTCCACTTTTAACAGTTTGAAAAAATTTGGGTATGTGATACTCATTATAATAAAGGTTTTCTTGTATTTCCCAGTGAATGAAAAACAAAACGGTATTGCAGTTTTTACTGACGTTTCGCTATTTAGTACTGCTGCTAATAGCTTTATCAAAGTAGTATTATTAAGCCAGAATTTACAAAATTCACTCAGTTTATATACAACAACTTAGTCACCGTTCCTTAGCGTGTGGTCATTTTTGCGTTGTCAAGTTGGCTATTTGGTACAGATAACAAAACCAGGTGTAGATTGTTGGATTTGATAGGTGTATAAAGTTATAAAAGCATTGTGTGTTTACATAATGAAATTGCTTATCACATTCGTGTCAAATTCTAGTTTAGTCCATCATTCCTATTCAACAGACAGTTTGGATTCGATTTGATATGAAGTACTTCTGATGATATTAGATGTTTTTTGTGATTTTCGGAATTTTTCTGATTGATCTCAATATTGCCGAAATCAATTTTGTGGCTTGATTCTATAGTGTGTGGCTGATGATTTTTCGAGCTTTTCCAGTTCAACCGGATTTCTCGGTGGTCAAACAGATACTCACTCTACGGTGTTCAATTCTTCTGATTTTGATTTGTCGCGATAATTGCCCGATGTATATCACATCACATTCCAAGCATTTTATTTTATAGACACAATTAGATAGAGAATCTTTAGGGGTTTGGTCTTTTATATGGACAAGGCTATTTCCTAGTGTGTCTGATGTTTGGAAGAAAACTGTGATGTCGAGCTTATTGAGTAATCTTCTGATATCATCTGACGTCTCCGCTCTCTATGGAATGACAACTGCTGAGGTCAGTTTTCGGAATACGTTTCTGACCATACTTAATATCAGTGTTGATTTTGTTGATGAAGTTCTTTGGGTAGATATTTTTCTTGAGAGTCTCAGTGTTGTTCGATATTTCTTCTTCTTTTTCTTTCTCATCCGTTTTCGTCAAAGAGTGGGCTCGTTTAAGAAGACTTGAAACAAGTGATACCTTTACGCTGATGAGGTGTGATTATAAAGGTAAAAAAATATTACTATACTAAATACTATAGAGCTAGGAGATTATGCTCTGTAGAGAAATCAGAGAAAGAATTTGTGTTTCTCGGAAAGATGTTGAAGAGCAATGGTTACCCTCATAGATTTATCAACAAGTACGGAAGATCTAAAGTCTCAAATGTCAAACAAATCACAGTGGAGAAAAAGCCCATCTACATTCAACTTGATTATAGAGGTGAAAATATTACAGCAAATGTCAACGGAAGATTGAGGACCTCTCTACGCAGAGCCTATCCAATCCCGTCTATCGAACAACTTGCTCTTTGGTGCAATCAAAATCCGATAGATATCTTTCTCATTTTAACTTCAACTGTATATATAAATTAACATGTATCTGCGTGAGCAGTCACATTCGAAGGACAGAAAGAAGGGCATATCTACGATTTTCTGAACATTTACCAAAAAGCTTATGTCTAAAGGGAACAAATGCTTTAAACAGTGGCATCGCCAGGCATCACCTTGACACGGGTCATGAGGTGGACGTCGCAAGGTCGTACAAAATTATCAATAGGCAAAAGAGTTCAATTCTCCTTAAGTTTGCTGAAGCCATCTCCATTAAGCGCCTGAAACCCGATTTATGCATTCAGGAAGAAACAGTTATCGGTGTTTCTTTGTCCCGCCTGGTAACTGGATATTTTCACCCTTTCTTTCATCTGATTATGTAATGCAGAAAGTTTCCGTTGTGTATGATCACTATTGTTCGGAATATTTATATGTATATATAATTACTGTATGCATATATTGACTGATTGATTTTTGTTTAAAATGAACTCTGTGCAAGTACGTTAAAATCGTTTCTGTAGATATACTTAATAATGACTTTGGCCTGTAAGCAGCTGAGCTGATGAGAAGCCAACGAAATAAACAATGATGGTACCATTTTATTCTGCAATAACCACTGTTGCGTCATTCTATCTGCTGATTTCTCCTGGTCGTCTCATATCTTAGCGATTTCTAAGAAAATTTTCCGTCTTACCTTCTACATCAAGAAGTTAAGACATTCCGGTAAAACCCAACCCTTACTCCTACAATTCGTTAACTCTCGTATTCTGCCTATTATTCTCTATTGTTCCCCCTTAGTTTTTCCCGGTCTACTGAAGAAAGACTATAACATATTACGCACGATGTTAAAGGTTGTCAGCAGGGTAAGCAACGTGCCACTTAACCAGCTTGTTAATATTCTGGTCGACAGGCACATGGACTCATGTGAAAAACGGCCTAATTCAATTTTATCTAACTCACACCACTTTCTTCACTCACAACTCTCACCTTGTACCTCATCAGGCAGAATCAGAAGCCTATATAGAAAACTAGATGCTCGCACTAGCAAGTACAAAAACTCAACCATACCCCAGTTTGCTCGTGTTCTGTGCGATAAAGAAAGCATTAGGCGTGACACCTATAACTTATTAAATAGTCAGTAGAACAACTGGACCTCGTCTTTCCAACTCATATCATTTATAGGTACAACATTTTCTTTCTTCCTTTTCCTTTTCTCTCTCTTTCTTCTTTTTCTTTTTTTCTGTAACGTGCTGCTTTGTTTCTTTCTCTCGCTTACGCTAGTAAATATGACAGCACCTACTTTTCTAACACCTTCAAACACTATTCAACTTTGGCTTTGTTACCGACATGCCAATATGTTGTTGTCATAATGAACTGAGATTTCCTTAATCTATGTAGAATTCTATTTATTGACAATGTACTAACTGGATGTAATACTGTAGTAAAACTGCTGAGAATTCCAATCTGTATCACAAGTACTGTTCTGGAATAAAGCAAATTATTATTATTATTATTGTTCTTGCTTTATTCGAATTCATTAAGGGGAATATATGTATGATGTTTCCGGTTGGCTATCTAATATTCAGTTTGGAGCCAGTGTGAAGGCAGTTGTTGACAAAAGTCCACAGTCAGCTGTTGGAAATGGTTTTCGTAACGCATGTAAAAGAACTGACTGACTCAACATTCGTGTTTAAAATCCTTGATAAGCATTTAAATATATCTCTGATTAGAGGCACAAATAATGAGTATCCTTCCTCCCGCACCCCAGCCCGCCCGACCATCCGTCACTCTTATACTTGTCAAAACTTCATTGATTCTCTTCACTTATTTTCCTGTCTACCTTTGTGTGCTATTTGGAACGTGGCAACTCGAACTGCTGCACTTGTGTGCGTCGGTGGCACAGTGGTTAGGACTCTCGCCGACCATGCACATGGTCCGGGGTTCGATCCCCTGCCGGCGCACACCCGATATCTATGGTCGGCCTGAATTTGGGCTACCGATATCCATGCTGAAAATTCCACTGTACTGAAAATACAGTGTGGAATCAAGCTGTAAATCAAAAAATCAAAAAAAAAAGTTCTATGTTGAATCCAGACAGAGACCGCCCGTCAGAATCTATCTCCAGATTCCTTCAGTAATTATAACTCATGAAACATCTAAAAAGAATTTTAATGAAATAAACTAAATGAAGCACTCAAGGTATTAGTAACCAACTTGCATGCACAAAAGTGGAATATCAACACTTACCACGTATCTTCGATGCAGTTTGTATCCGACAACCAATCATTTTACTCACTTCCAGTGAACTATTAAACATGCCACGAATAAAAGCCGTCTTAGAGAATATTTTAAACGGTTCACCGATCAACTTCAACTTTTTCATAATTTGAAATGATTTATTTGAATCAATCACTGTTCCGGTACCAGCAACACGAAATGCTGGTAGATAAGGATTTTTTGGATCATCTATTGACTGCCATGCAGAGTTGACAAAAGCGATAACACCAGTTTTTGGTGGGACTAATGGACCATAAATAGTCGCTAGACAATGTTCATGCGGTAGGGAATATTTCAAATAGCGTTTACGTAAATTATGCTCTTCCTGGGAAAAAACACTAACAGTTTGATATCTACGCCAACCGATAGACACAGTCAAGGGATCATTCGACCGGAGAACACGTTTAAGCCAACGATGCGTACGGAAACGTATCAGCAGATGACCAAAGGCTTCTTCAGCACTTGACAAGCCGCCAGCGACCAATGGTTGACAAGGATCAAAACGTTTTATAAACTGACTTGGAACACCTAGAAAAATTTAACAAAAACGGGGGAATATTTTGAAATAGGTAAGAATACATACAACAAGGCACACGCTTGAAATAATGGAGGAGGATGTTGATTTAATTGTGTTCTCTAAGCTTACTGATTTAATTGTGAAGCTTTCGTTATCCCCCCCCCCCATATCTAGACAACATTCTTCAGTGCCGACTTCAACAGGAAGTAAACTTCTTTGAATTCTATATTAGTTTGTTTCTTAGATATACCACACAGTGAAACTGTATTATTTACTGGATGGCGTTTCAAACAAAATTTATTGTTCATAATCATATCAATTGTAATCACACGACTTTGAAACTTGAGTTTTATAGTTTTCTCCTATTTGTCGTCGTTGGGGTAGTAGTAGAATTTTCCAGATATCCGACTGGACACGTGTTGAATCATTCCTATTACATGCATCTGCAGTTGATTCGATAAACAAAGCTTCTGTTATCAATCTCTCCCTCCACCCTGTTACATTAGATTTCAAAACTCTCACCCTATCCCATCCTATTGCATGATTGTGTGTAACTGCATGTAGTGAGTGCTATAGCTGAACTATTCTCTACATTTCTTATCTTATTCGGGTCAACCAATCCAGATTTTGCTGCTAGGTTTTTATGCTCGGCTAGTCTGACTGCACCTGTTCTACTACTTTGACCTATATATTTGACCTGACAATCATTGCAGACAGGGTATTAGATAAACTAAATTGTTTTGTTTAATCGCCCCACAGGATCCTTTAACCGACAAAGCTTGTTTCTAATTGAATTTGTGGGTTTGAATGCCATTTTTATTCCAGCCAGCATTGTTAAGAATTCTGCGTAAGGCTTTGGAGGTTCCTTCCTTGCATGGAATTACTGCTAGTGATTTAGATTCCTTATTGTTGGTGTCGTCATTAATATTATTATTATCACCATTATTATTATCATTATTATTGTTATCATTGTTATTGTTATTATCAGTATCGATACTATCATTATTTATTTTACTTTTACATTTCCCCACATATTTCTTGACTAATTTATCCGGGTAATTATTAAGTTTCAAGGCTTCTCTTATGTGTATCAGTTCCTGTTTTAGATTTTCATTGGTACTACTTAATTTTTGTGCTCTGTCATTTAAACATTTCACCATTCCTATTTTTACTGACATAAGATGGGATGATCGGAAGTCCAAATATCTGTTTGAATGTGTGGGTTTCCTGTAAACACACACTAGTGTTTAACTTCCCATCTTCTTTCCCTTTTACGTTGCAATCTAACATTGGAAGCTCCCCTTCCTGAATTTCCAATTCATAAGTGAATTGAATTGCTTCATTTGAAGCAATTCAACAAAGCTGCTCAACCTCGTGGAGCAAGAGCGGACTATATTGTCTCCCTTAGTCAAGGCGCATTTCATCTCACCTCCTTCTGTACTCTCGCTTAAGTTGCGGGCTGGAAAATCAGCCGGCCGTTGTATACAGTGTTGGCGTGGATACGTGATATTCGTGATCACCGCAGCTTCTGTACCTGTTCGTGTGTCCCTTCTCCAATTCAAATCAACATTTCCCACAATATGTGAAAGTATCCTGCCGCCTAAGCTGAAGAAGTAGGGTGTATCGATACACGAAGCCCATTATTGCTGAAAGTCAAGGGATAACGCCACAACCTAGGTGAAGAGTTCTAACTTTCCCTTTAACTGATATCAGTTCGTGACTTATCACAGCTGAAAGTAACAGACAGTGACACAGCAGATAGACAGAAAATTTCAGGCTTTTGAATGATGAATCTGATATTCTATGAAGTATAACGCCAAATTATGTTTTAATCTTACGTCAAGAACCAACCTTATGAAAGAGGGCAAGTGAGTGGCTGCAATAACAAACTAGCGAGAAATTACTGCTAAAGACACCATAGGAAGACAGGTGTTAAAACTCTTATGAAAAATAAAAAAGCAACTGGTCATTCCCACAATAAATATCAACCAGACTGACATCTATATTTTCCCTTGAGATTCAGAAATACCCAGTGCAAGGAACAAACACACACACACGCACAGAAAAGCAACAATATATTCAACGCAAAACTAACCTCTAATTTCAAGACGAACATAAGCTCCAGGTGGAAAACCTTCCAGGCGGCTGGCAACTTCTTCTGGTAGACTTTTTAACACTTCTTGATTCAAGGCTTGTTGAGCTTCACGTGCAGCAACTAGTTTATCGTAGAATGCAGTTGCTTCAGGGCCACCACCAGCTGCTTCATACAACTGATTGAATAGTGCCTTATGCCGTTGTCTTTTCTCTAATAATTTTTGACGTTTAGTTGGTCTTAGTAGATTCTGAAGGTATAATAAAAATTAAAGAATATATGTGTGGTGTGAACATTTTCATAAACGTTTAGCATTTATATTATACACTATTCACATCTTTCATTTTTGTTTAAACCAGATCCTATACTGGAATTATAAAACGAATAAAGCCTTTATTGCGGGCCCTCAGTATTCTCACTTGATCGGTGAATGTTTGATTAACTCATAAACACTACAATTTATTCGTTTTATTATGGACAAGATATTACGTCCCGAACGCTTTGATGCTGATTCCAATTGCCAAACATCTTCGAAGATTTGGAATCATTGGTTTCGTACATTCAATACTTTTATCACTAAATCTTCAACTCCAGATTCAGACAAACTTGATGTTCTCATCAACTATATCTCACCTACTGTATATGAATACATTGCTGAATGTAAAACATTTGACGGCGCTCTTAGTACTCTTGAGAAACTGTATGTCAAACCAAAGAACGAGATTTTTGCTCGACATCTATTATCCACATGCAAACAAGAAACTGGACAGAGCCTCGACCAATTTTTACAAAAACTGAAATCTCTGGCAAAAGATTGTTCATTCAAACCTGTCTCGGCTGAACAAAATCAGAATGATGCAATACGTGACGCATTCATAAGTGGAATGCAATCTAATAATATACGACAACGTCTTCTGGAAAACAAATTACTTGATCTTGATACTGCTTATGAACAAGCTCGATCCCTAGAAATGGCTTATCAACAATCACATTCGTTTCATCCTTCCGAATTCTCCAATTCTGCTGCAATATCAAACAGTGATACATCAAATGAACTAAACTCTTATGTGGGTGAAACAGGATTGACTGCTTCAATAAATGAGAAATGCTACTTCTGTGGATTTACTAGACATCCTCGCTCTAAATGTCCTGCAAGGGATGCAGTATGCAAACTCTGTGGTAAGAAGGGGCATTATCAGAAGGTCTGCCGGTCAAAATCGTACACCAAAACTACATCAGTTACTAGTTCTTTGTTGTCTTCCATGACTCTAGCCGCCGCTCCACAGTCTCTCTCCAATGCGGTTGTGCAGCTTTTTGTAAATGACATTCCCCTACAAGCCCTCGTAGATACTGGGAGCTCAGACAGTTATATTTCTTGTGCAGTCGTTCAAAAACAACATATAAAGGTAGAGCATTCTCGCACTTCAATCACAATGGCTTCCACAAGTCTGACAACTCATACTCATGGTCACTGTTATGTAAATCTACGTTATAAAGACTCGAGTTACTCACATATCAAACTTTCAGTGTTGCCAAATCTGTGTGCTGATGTGCTATTAGGTCATGATTTTTTACGCTTGCATAATAAACTCGAAATTCCATTTGAAGGTAAAAACAATCCATTTTCACTGTGTAATCTTGTTGCTGCACATATTGATCCACCTCCCTTGTTTCATAACCTAACACCCAAATGTGTTCCGATCGCTACAAAATCACGAAGACATTCCACTTCAGATGAACATTTCATCAAGCTGGAAATCAAAAATTTACTCAGTGAGCAGATCATCGAACCATCAAACTCCCCTTGGCGCGCCCAAGTTTTGGTCACTACTAATGAACGCCACAAGCGTAGAATGGTGATTGATTACAGCCAAACGATAAATCGTTTCACATTATTGGATGCCTATCCACTCCCAAAAATTGATGAGATGATTGAAAAGATTTCAAAATATACTGTATTTAGCACTTTGGATTTAAAGAGTGCTTACCATCAAATACCCATCAAAGAAGAAGAGAAACTCTTCACAGCTTTTGAAGCTTGCGGCAACCTCTATCAGTTCCGTCGTATTCCCTTTGGTGTCACAAACGGTGTTTCGTGTTTTCAGAGAGTTATCAGTCAGATTATCAGAAATGAAAATCTTCAAGCTACATTTGCTTATTTAGATAATATAACTATTTGTGGTGAAAACACAGAACAACATGCAAAAAATCTTGCCCGGTTCTATGAAGCATCCAGAAAATATGGGCTAACATTCAATGAGAATAAAAGTGTTATTGGCGTTAAACAAGTAAAACTTCTAGGCTATGAAGTTTCTCATAAAATGATCAAACCTGATCCCGATAGACTTCAAGCATTATGGAATTTATCACCTCCACGAGATCTTAAATCCCAACAGCGAGTCATTGGTCTCTTTGCGTATTATTCACAATGGATATCTCATTTCTCCGATAAAATTCAACCCCTTATACAAAATAAAATCTTTCCATTACCAGGTACTATTGTAAGCTCATATGCAGCATTAAAAAATGAACTTGCTCAATCTGTGATGACTACTGTGGATCTCGACTTGCCCCTTATAGTGGAAACCGACGCTTCGGATACTGCTATAGCTGCCACGTTAACACAAAATGGTAGACCCGTTGCATTTTTTTCCAGAACACTATCACCAAGTGAACGGCATCACTCAGCGGTGAAGAAAGAAGCTTATGCCATCGTCGAAGCTATTAGAAAATGGCGTCATTATTTACTTGGTACTCATTTCCAACTCATTACAGACCAACGATCAGTTTCTTTCATGTACGATATGAACCACCATGGGAAAATAAAGAATGACAAGATTCAGCGTTGGCGAATAGAACTTTCTTGTTACAGTTTTGATATAATCTACCGTTGTGGCAAAGAAAACAAAGTCGCCGATGCATTATCTCGCGGATATTCTGCTTCTGTCATGGGTGAAACTAATCTGAAAGACCTACATAACTCTCTGTGCCATCCAGGAGTTATTCGCCTTCTTCACTTTGTGCGTTCTAAGAACCTACCTTTTTCTGTTGATGATGTGAAGAGGACGATATCTAGTTGTGCAGTTTGTGCTGAGCTGAAACCCAGGTTTTGCAAAGTATCCACAGGAAATCTTATTAAAGCGACTTCTCCTTTTGAACGTCTAAATATTGATTTCAAAGGACCTCTTCCTTCAAACTCCCGGAACAAATATCTTCTTACGATAATTGATGAGTACTCTAGATTTCCGTTCGCTTTTCCTTGCCAGGATATGACAGCATCAACTGTTATTAATTGCCTGTGCCAGTTGTTTTCCCTGTTTGGTATGCCATCCTACATACATTCAGACAGAGGATCGTCGTTTATGTCTGCAGAATTAAAACATTTTCTCCACGATAAAGGAATAGTTACCAGTAGAACAACAGCATACAACCCCCAATCAAATGGACAGATTGAACGTCTCAACGGCACTCTCTGGCAATGTATATCACTAGCTGCTAAATCTAGGTCCATACCAATCTGTGAGTGGGAAGTTGTTCTCCCCGACGCTCTTCATTCTATCCGTTCTCTTTTATGTACTGCCACAAATACTACTCCACACGAACGGATGTTCAGGTACAATCGAAAATCAACGTCTGGTGTTTCTCTTCCCAGTTGGTTAACTATTCCTGGACCGGTCTTGATGCGCCGTAATGTACGTTCTAAATATGAATCTCCAGTTGATGAAGTTGAACTGATTGAATGTAATCCCAAGTATGCTCATGTGAGACTTCCAGATGGACGTGAGGAAACAGTATCTATTCATCATCTTGCACCAAAAGAACATATATTTCAATCGCCCGTTAGCATGCCGATTCCAGACGCAGTACCAGAATGCCTCCAAAATCAACTTACTGAAGACGACATATCGACCCGTTCTACAGATACTGAAACTCCTATTTTGACGGACAATTTAAGTGAAAATGTCAAAATTGATCCGAACCCATCTTCTTTACTAGAGAAACAACGAAGGGTTCGTCCATACAATCTGAGAAGCCGCGAAGTCTAAACAGTTTTAAAAGTCTTGACTCCTTATGCTCTGTACTCTCAAACAAAAGGGGAGAAGAATGTGGTGTGAACATTTTCATAAACGTTTAGCATTTATATTATACGCTATTCACATCTTTCATTTTTGTTTAAACCAGATCCTATACTGGAATTATAAAACGAATAAAGCCTTTATTGCGGGCCCTCAGTATTCTCACTTGATCGGTGAATGTTTGATTAACTCATAAACACTACAATATGCATGCACATACTACAGCTTAAAGGAGATAAGCTTTTAGTCATAAGGTGACTTTTCATCAACAGTTGAAATGTCTGGAAAATAACTCTTGGATGTTTAATGGCATTATACCACTTGCCAACTTAAGTCATCTCTGGCTTACTAGACGTGATAACCGGTTGGCTGGCTGGCTATCGATCAAAGCATGTATGCACTGCGCAACAGCTGCCTTTGCCCTTGTTTATGGCTATCGAGTATGATCATCGGAAGTGGAAGATGACAAACGACTAGCTGTCTTTGACTGCAAATGTTTGCGTTCTACCCACCGTCTTAAGTGATATGATAAGGTGAGTAATACTGAGGTCAGGGTTAGTTTTGCATATGCCAGTTTAAGCCATCTTTGGCGTAGACGTGATATCCGACTATCGACCCAAGGGCGTGTGCATAGCTCATCAGTCCGCTCCGTCCTCCTTTATGGCTGTGAGACCTGGCCCCATTGAGAGTGGAAGACATGAAAAGGTTAGCTGTCTTCGACCATAGGTGTCTACGTTCTATCTCCCGTGTGAAGTGGTATAATAAGGTGAGCAATATTGAGGTTAGACATCGGTCGAGTGCTAGGTAAGGAGGGGAAATAAATCGACGAGGCTGTGAAATTACATCGACTGAGATGGTTAGGACATGTGTTACGTATGCCTAGTCATCAATGGCCTTCCTCGACGAGCAATGTTAGCTGACATAGGGTCAGGCTGGAAAAGAGCTAGCGGCGGTCAAACCAAAACATGGCACCAGTCAATGAAATCTACAATAGTTAGTTCAAGCCAGCCAGTCACGTAGGGAGGTGTAGAATTCCTAATTGGTTGGGGTCCTCGGGACGGTAAAATCCAATGAAGGCTGGAGACAATCGGCGATATGGCTCAAAATGGTTCATAATGGCTGGAGCAGATGCATCCACTCATTGTGACTTATAATACGCAATGAAACTATATTG